AGACTCTCTGATAGCTTTACTTGCAATAAACTTGTCTTGAAGCACTATTTATTACTGTATATATAGCTAGAACACCTATTTGTGTTCTGATCTTCATTCAGGGGCACATGTTAATAATTTACAGAGCAGTCTGGCTGTATCCTTAAAATCTTTAATAGGTTTGTTAATTAATTTGCGAACAGTAACTGCTCCTAGAGTCATTTGATATTCACAATCCTATCGTCTCACTCAATCCCATCTTTATTTAGTGGCACCTCCTCCCCTCCTCATTTATTTGAGACATTGGGAGGAATTAGGTTATAATAATTATGAAAAGGGAAAATAAGTGTAATCATTTGATAAGAATGGCTTTGTCCAACATGCAACACTATGGAATAGCTGGCTAAGGAAATGTCCCATTTCCCATAAGCATAGGTAGCAATTGCTCCGGAGTATATTTACTGACTGGAGCGAGACTATAGGAGTAGTTTCCAACTCATGTTGATTGGCTTCGGTGCCATGCCATGGTGAGCGGCTTCAACTGGAATGGCTTCATGTTCTTCTGAGGCAAAGCGAACTGATTTTAAGTTTCTAACTGCAAGGTAGTTTAAATGATCCACGGCTAACCTCTCGTGAAAGCTCTAGGATTGCAGTTGGAAATGTTTGACTAAATGTGACTTAAACCCGTGGCTAACCTCTCGTGAAAGCTCTTGTGGTTTGCTTCAAAGTCAAGTAACCAACGGCTGACCTCTCGTGAAAGCTCTTGTGGTTCGTTCCAAAGTCAAGTAAACCAATGGCTAACCTCTCGTGAAAGCTCTTGTGGTTAATTCTATAGTAGAGTTACCAACGGCCAACCTCTCGTGAAGGCTCTTGTGGTTCGATCTACAGTAAACATGTAACCAACGGCCAACCTCTCGTGAAGGCTCTTGTGGTTTCGATCTATAGTAAACGTGTAACCAACGGCCGACCTCTCGTGAAGGCTCTTGTGGTTTAATCTAGGTATATAGAAAACGTATAACCAATGGCTCACCTCTCCTGAGGGCTCTTATGGTACGTTTCAAGTGTGTATGTTGCGTACACAATCATTCTCAAGGCTATCCGCTTGTGGAAGCTATTGGAAAACGCCCCACAATGTGGTGTAAGTACCTACAAGAAAAAACTTACCAAACTGACGACAACGAATGCGTCCTCTCGCCGGTTTCGCCCAATTATCCAATTCCTGCATACACTCCATCAGTTTTCCTATCTGCTTGCGACGTTTTCGACCCATTTAGTAGGAAAATCACCAAATTAAATTGAAAAATTTTCCAGGGTACGACGTGACAGGTCGTGCACAAAGAAGTACAATGATGTTGCCAGTGAGATGACCATAGAGTATAAATATTTTTTTATGAATGTGTTCATCTTTAAATATTGTGACAGCGTGCCCAGATTAGTGCCTACTACTAGTATAATTAGCGAGGATGACGCTACCTATACAATATATTTTTTGTGTGACCCACAAATTCTTTTGTGGCATATATATGTGATAATCTATTTATATTTCCCACCACAAAAAATGTCATATTATTCACTTGTAAATCCTAAAATTAATAATTGCTTGACTGTCTCGTTGGCCAAGTGGTCGCAAATGCGACTGCCGGGCAAGGGGACTGTCGGGTTTGATACGCGGGTCAGGCAAAGATTTACTGATTAAAAAAAAATGTAGTTAGTAATAGCACGGAGTTTGGAATTGTGCCCGGTATATAGCAATAGGCTTACATCCTATTACAACATAAATAGTGACAAGTGGGTTTGACTGCCTCTTTTGCCGAGTGGTCGTAAGTGCGACTGCTGGGCAATGGGTCTCGGGTTCGATTCCCGGGTCGGGCAAAGTATTACTGGGTTTTTAAATATTCTCAGTAGTAGCACGGAGTCTGGAATTGTGCCCGGTATATGACAATAGACTCACCCCCTATTACATGAGACTCATAACATAAATAGTGAAAAGTGGGTGTTATATTGTACAGTGGTATAATGTGCACATCTGCCTACCCTTTCGGGGATAAAAGGCGTGATGTTATGTTGGGTTTTACATTGTAAAGTAGCGTAATATGCACCTCTGCCTACCTCTTCAGGGATAATATACGTGATGTTATGTTTGTTATGTTATCTTGGTTGATTACTGGATTAAACCGGAGACTTTGAAATTTAAAGAATGCAATATTTACGCCCACGCATATGCCAATCCAAATTCTTGAGCAAATATTTAAATCAATACCTATACCTATCTAATAAAATTCTAACTTTTTCTTTCACTTTTAAGTCTACCTGACTGGTCTAATTTGAATACACCGTAGTCTAGTCACATACTGAAAAGTATTTGTACCAGGGTCATTGCCAAACTATACACGTCTATACATTGCTATTGTCGGTACATAAAGTTCTTTCTAGCTACAAGTTTTGGTATTTTATAAGACCATTTTTAGGTCGATTTCTCTGTAAGAAGCATCATCATTTTGATCACGATGGTGACGATGCTGATGTCATTATGGTGTTATTATCATACCAGCTACAATGCGTCTATGTTTAAAAATAGGTCTGTTCAATGAGTTGCAGAATGCCTTGTTGGAAGCAACCAGTACCCAATGGTTCCCTGAGATATTTATTAGGAAGGATGCGACATCATGAGGAGGCACATGAAGTTAAAACGCAAACTTTTTTTGTCATCCTACCAACAAAAAAGAGGTTTATAGTTTGACCTGTATGTATGTATGTTTTTGCGTAATTATCTCGCGATGGGCTGTACCGATTTTGATGCGGTTTTCAGAAAAATGTTTGTTCTGCTTAGGGGAAGTTTTTTAGTAGATATACTAACTAATCGACTTCAAAAAAGGGGGGTTAAAGTCAGTTTTTGTAAACATAGTTAATAAAAAATATTATTTAGGTAATGACTTGCTAATGACGAATCTTGAGATGGGCAAGAAATACAAGACGACCACTTAAACGACAATAGCTTTGTTGATGCTGTCTTTTCAACTGTAATACCATAATAGGTACCAGTAAAGGGTATCAGAGACAGACATACCTACCTCATTTATGACATGCATATTTGCTTCGGTTTCCCACACAAAGAAGTACTTTTTTCTAATTTACACTATCACTGTTTCCCTGGAAAACACATTCAAACATAAAACAATAAACTTAATTCAGATTTTATCGTACCAGAGGTCACCAGAGTCAATCGAGAGAAATGGGCCGCCATAATGTCATTTGTAGATTGTTATCAATGGCTTGATCTAGACTCGAACAATAGGCATGTTGTTTCTGTATTTTATGGGGACATAGCAACAATGGAAGTGCAGTATGACGATAAAAGTAAGATGTGGAGTATTTGTTTTTGTCAGAGGTAACACATATATTCAAATATTGATATGACCTAAAGATCTGACTGAGTCTTGCCTTGCTATAGTACCTGATGCTTAAATATTACCTATATTGAGATAACAGGATAAAGGGAAGTGATTCGAAGCCTGTTCCTAAACACTAGTCACTGATCACTATTACCGAAAAATCTAATTTCAGGAAACCGAACCAGTTTAGGAAGTGTATACCTAAGAACCTCAATCCCCGAATCCCCAACAATCCTCAAATTCTTAATCCCCAAAACGCCGGTAAAGCACTTGTAAACATCTCTGATGTTTCAGGTGTCAATGGGCGGCGATTACTTACAATCAGTTATCCCATAAAAATCCTATTTTTATTATTATTTGAGGATGGTACACTTTAGTGCATTTTATTATGTCCAGTAATTGTAACCAAGAAATTTTGGAAAGAATAAAATCTTCATAAATCCTTTGCCATGTCACCAGTTACCAAAATAAACATAACAATGACAGTAGCACAAAACACTCGCTACTATTTATACCAAAAATACTGATAGTAAGCAATTTATCACTAGTACTTATAAGTAAACACTATTTTCAAATAAAAACACAAAACATCTTCACAATAATTTGTCAAAATTGTAAGCTCATTGTACGTAAGTTATCAAAGAGTTTTATAAAATGGAAAGTGTGTAATCATTTAATAATAATCTCATTGTTTCAACATTTGTGGGAAGGAAAACTTTAGGCCGCCATCATTCTATAGTCTTAATATCTACGTCCAATTATCTTGTTGATACGACGATAAAACTGGGAAAGAAAATGTCTGTACTTTTATAGATAACGTGAGAAAACTAAGGCAGTGTTAATAGGAGCAACAAAAATACTAAGTTACAACTATCTGAGGAAACAAACACAATTGGCGATGGCAATGAATTTGTAATCATGAGGATAGGTATAGAAACAACAGGTAATACTGATGAAATAACACAAAATATTGATGAAAATAGTTTAATCAATGATACAAACAATATAGTAGTAATTGATAGTTACTATGTTTAAAATAGGGCCACATAGTACAAGTGTATATTTTATAATGAGATATAATAATAGCACCTTGTTACGAAAGTAGTCAAAGCAACATACCTGTTGACCGAAAACAACAAGCTAATTAAGGCACACGGAAGTGAAAGAATGGACGATAACATCACGAACCAAATAAAACTGTCTCAAATATTTCTGCCCTATTGTTTATTCACATTTTAAGGCTTCATATATTGATAAATAAAACGAAATGTAAATAAAAATGAAGCTAGATACAATTAGTTTGATTATGGTGGTTCTAATGTGAATTAAAGATGTCATTCCTTATTTTAGCACACCTGACACATTTCCGCACAAAACTATGAAAAGCACAGCCACCTGACGTGATGCACCTCACTTATCAACTGTCACCATGATCCAAAGCCACACCCACACTACGACAAAAAACCACGTGCGTTCCCCGAAAACAGTCCGTAGGTACAACAAAATAATTTCGTAGGTACCAGTTTAATCGACCGACATTGAGTTCACTTTTCTTGACCGGCGCGAGGTAGTGGGGTGAGATGCTTAAAACTGGCCGTCATATACAACGTCGCTACACTTTGTGCCAAGCTTTCTGTAGGGGTAGTTTGATTCGCCGCCATGATACGATACGTCGCAGTCCTAGTGCTTCTCGCCGCGGCGCGGGCGATGCCTGCGCTCGATAAAGAGCCCAATGAAATCGGAGTTTTCGGGTCCATATTAGGAGTTGTTAAGGAGTGTGTTGATGGAGATACGTCCTTGTGCATAAAGGTGAGGACAGTGCAGTGATAAGTGTGAAGTGCCCTCAGTGATGTGTTACTAAGTACTTATATTTTTGGTTGCAGGAGAAAACGTTGAAATATGTAGAGGCTGTAAACTCCGCCCGGGAGTTGGACCTTGCTGATGGTGTGGCCATCCTTAGCAATGGTTCCCCAAGGTCAGCTAGGGCCTTGGAGCCTCTGTCTGAAGAACCCAAGGCCAGGGAAGCTCAGATCGAGTCCAGACTGGTTGACTCAGCTGCTGACTTCTTGGAGAACCATGTGATCCAGTTCAAACTTCCCTCATCTGCCGTTGAAGGCATGAAGAGGTCACTTGAGGAAGGTAAGCATCTAAAACCATCGCCACAAAAATAAGCTCTATCTTCAATCAAATAAGTTTTAAAATTACTTGAGCGTGTCGGTTAAAGTGTTAAAACTTGGTGTCAGATGTTAGATAAACACACATTTGAATAATCAAACAATTAGCATGAATCATTGAAACAAACATCGTTACCATAAAAAATGCTTCAAGCAAACAGAAGCACACAAAATGTGTCGTACGTAAATCAAATGTGAATTGATGGCGAATGATATAAATTTTGATTCAAATTATGACGTAGAACGAACGACTTATGTTTTCGCTTTCATTTACAAAGATCGTGAACTTGAAAAGTTCAGATAAACAAAAATAAAAGGGAAATTATGAAATGGGAAAATAAATGAGTTTCATTATTTGATGAAGTGAATCAATGATTCGAGACTAAAGCTCTGGGAGATCGCGGTTTTTATATTACTCATTAAATAGAGCAAAACGATTGTTTTCTGAACTTAGCTCTTGGTCACGTTCTTAGAATTTCTCCGTTTTATAACACGAATTAATAATCTGATTGCGATCTAAGTTTTGGTTAGGAATTTCTAGAAATTTCTGTGTTATGTAGAACAGGATATCGATGCCTGAAATGAATAAAGATTTAAGAATATTTTGAGAGGTTTCTCTCAAAATATTTTGACGTAATCATTATGACATTGATGTTGGCGAAGATCAAACTGTAGGATCAGATGATAAAATATTAATCATATATTAAGGTATTGCAAAACCAACAGATAATGATACAGAATGCAACAATGATCCAAATAACATAACAGTTGTAACAGTTAACAAACAACTTAAAGTAACAAAATAAGATGACCGAAGCTAATTTGCCCATTGACTACCTCACACCGCGTGAGAGGAATCTCAAAAACCTGTTGCATTTGTTCTGCTTTGTCGTAACCACTCTTGTTTGCTCTGCACACAGTAAAAGGGTATGCTAATATTATCATATTGTACTGCAAATAGCGGGGAGGTTGACATCTTTGTTAGTATTATCAACTTTTGGTTTTGTTGATTTGGTGTAATAACTGTGTTTCAATAAGTTTTAGTCTGCAAAATTATCAAAAGCATCCTTATTGCGTCCGTGTTAGTTATATGTAGTACTCATTGTAGTAGGAACTGCATACTCTTCTATCATTTTGTGATATTACCACAATTCTTAATATCGAGTAGGGGATTATTTAAAAAGAGTTTAGTAGAAGTATTATATACAGTTCAGTTCCTCTAGTGTTGTGAGTATCCATTGGTAGTGCCAATCGCTTGTCATCAGGTGATCCATTTGCTAATTTGTTATCTGTTCCATAACAAAGTTCATCAAGTATTAAATGATAAAAAGCAACTACCAAAATAGTAAACTCCAAACCAGTAACTCTTAAAATTATACACAATAAAATTATAATCAGATTACAAATATTTCATCTAACTTGCGTACCAAAATTAATAAATGCATTATTCAGTTTCAAGATTTACACAAAAACAAATTGGAAAGTTGCAAGTACTGCATAAAACGTAGAATATGGTTGATTCCGTAGTTTCGTGCAAATTGAACCGTTCCGCGGAACAAAAATAAAAATGGTGTATTTGTATTTTTTATTTATTCATCGTATTAGGTTAATCCCCAGGATTGCAAAAATAAGATAGGCACTTTTTAATATTGCTTAATTACGGAGAAAATGACATCCCAAATTAAGCTGATGGATGGCAATGAAATGTGTCAGGATTGTAATGAACTAAGGATGTAGTATAGTAGTGGGAAAGCTAGGTTAGTGTAATGAATCGTAAAACCTAAGAGAATAATCAAGTAAAATAATAATATTTCAATAATCAACATGTTCCATGCAAGCAGTCAATCATACCAAATTTTACTGAGAATCTAAAATCTAACTAATGCCGTAAAATTATGAAAAGCGGACTAGTAAATCCACTAAAACTACTCGTATACAAAATAGTTGCATTTGAAACATCGATATTCTATCAAACAATAAAAAAAAACAACGAAAACTATACTTCAACACACAAATAATCTTAAAAATAACTTGAGAAATCAATATGCAGTGATTTTTTTCATAAGACATTATTGATTTAAATTGTAAAAGAGTTGAAGTTGGTTTTCTGACATTATAATTTCAGAAAAAAATATATTAAACATTTAAAAAAAAGTTATCACTGTCATCAAATTCATCAACATTGCAATCTTTGTATGTAATAGATTCGAATTCTCATTGATGTTCAGAAGTAGAAGCAGCTTCTAATTTTTTTGGGTATAACTTGCTTGATTTGTTGTAAAATGTTCTGTTATCCCAATTAAAACGTACGTCAGATAATATTTTAATTTTAGGGGACCTTGACAAAGTATAAGATCGAAAGATGTTGTTTGATTTATCAATGGCGAGAGCTGGAAATCGATTGGACCCACAAAGGTTGCAAATTTTTGAGAAAATCTGATTCATTTAAGTTTTTTAAATTGTAGATGTATCTTAACTAAGTATAAACGGATTGCCATTAATTAATGTTTCTTCAGCTTGATTGCGTTGATTCCCAAATTGATCTGCCTCTTATGTTCCATAATTACTACAACGAAGAAATCTTGAGTATTTATTATGGATACAAATGTTGTATTCTTCATAATCGAAACAACTGAGACTTCGAAGTTAATTTCTTATTATAATTGGCGGTCCAAATGATATGATGAATTTGCATTGTTTTCTTAAATACTGAAAAATCATGGAGTAATACTTTTTCGTCAATATCACTCTCCGTTATCATATCAAAGTGTACGATTGGTATATTTTTAATATATAAACCCCAAAAATCTTCATAATTATAACCAACTTTTCCACAATAAGTTACAAAATTTTCAGCAATTCGCTTTACAACTGACCCAATGCCGTCCGAAACTTTTTACCGTGGCTCGAACCTTGATAGTTCCACGTCACGCTATTTATATTGGGGTTAATATCAATATAGTGATCATATAAAATATATTCTAATTTCTGTAATTCCTGGAAAGAGAATCTGATAGGAAATATACCGTGTCCACAGTGTTAGCGTTTGTACCATCTTCTTACTAACCGTAAGCAATCACTAACTACTTATACAAAATGATCTGATTTTCTGTGTCACTCTACGGGGACGAAGTTCCCACAAGTATTCTTTTTTCTTCCTTCCTTCCTAAGAGTTTCTGCCCCAACGCCTCCTTCTCGTTGTGCTCCAGAAGTCATGCTTTGAATACAGAAATCTTTCTTTTTCTTTTCTCGCTAAATATCTGATTCTTTTGTTTTTCTTTCTATATAGAATACACAGGATTACTTTTTAGTCTATCTTTTGCTAGCTTTTCTTCTCTGTTTAACTTTTTATGGGGTTTCGCCATATTAATGCTCGAAAATTAAATAAAGTTTGATTTGATTGTATTCTTATATCAGTTTGACTCATTTCCATCCAAAACAGCTCATTACCTGCTTACAAAAAATAGGAAGGAACTGAAGGTAATGAAGAGGAGATGAATGAGAAAATCGACTGTTTTGTTTGATTCCTCCATTACTAAATGAAATAAAAATAAAATAGAAAAATAAAATCAAAATAAATGAATTATAACAACAATTAGTTAGTTAAAAAATAATTACATTAATACAGTACCTTATAAATCCAAGGAATGAAATGAAATGGTTTCTGGACGAAACACTAGTAACACTACGGAGATCGTAAATATTTTCAACAACGTTGGGTGTACGTCCACCTTGCTCTGTCACCAGGGCTAAGGGTTCGATAGGAACACGTTTCATCCCGAACTATATATGAATTATATACACTATCGACAAAATTGACATGTTTTTGGGAACGGATGGCAATGAAGATTTTTTTGTGACAATGGGAAAAGATGGGTTTCCAATTTTATTACTATGTTTAATTTATAATTAAAATGCTAAATTAGTAGGCCAGGAGTGAGGCTTCAATATTACATACTCAGTGTGGCCATCAGTTTGATTGTCAACAAGTAAATAATTAAACATCTGCCGATGACTCTCTCTGGAAACAGAGAGGAATGAATTTTTACGCAGATTTATTAATTTTTAAAAAAAACTAACAATTTAATTTACAATATTAGTGATACTCCTTGAAGAATAATTATGTTTGAACATATGCTGAAAAAAAATAGCACAAAAAGAAGTAGTATTCTGTAGTTTATAGGTCTGGATATGCGTTTTGCACGAAACTACGGAACGACCCATATACTGAATGCTCGTTTATATTATTGCTTGAATATACCGTTGCATATTACGAATGCATGAAACGATGCACATGCAGGGTTGCTGCACCTATCTTTTGCATAAATTTTTTATTTACCTGCTTGAAAGCTTACTATAGTGAGTGATAGAAATAACAACAAATCATTATATTAATCATCTTCACTATCAACGTATTACGTGGCCCTATCAACGTATTACTTGTTAACAGTTAAATAACACATAACAAAAATATTTCGTCAAAATCTGACGACAACTGAAACCAATGTTATAACTAATCAAGATGCAACCATAATCACTTATGTTAACAAGGTTGTTACTAATAATTCTTAACTAGGTGCTAACACAACATTAGTATAATATTAACCGTAAAGCATCAAATGAAATACAGTCAACCCTAGATGCAAATGAAACATTTTAAGAAAAAGGATTAGTCGATAAATCAAAATTATTTGAAAAGATAAAAGATAGAAAATACAGCCCATTTATTATCATATAGAATTAACATAAATTGAAAACTACGCATGAATGAATCTATTAAATCATAAACGTACAATTTCCTGATATACTTATTTAACCATATGGAAAGATGCTCCACTTAATTTGTTCCGTTTATAATTATCATCCCTCATTAGGTAAATGGAGTAGCATTTGGTACCGTACTTTTTGATGGAATTCAGGGAGATTATAATTTCTCCGCTAGTATGTTAGATAATAAGATAATTGCTATAAAGATCTGATTGTATGATTGTGGGTTTCAAAGTGTAGCTCAACACGCGTAGCAGAGATGTAATCAATTAGAATGACTCTCGTTATAACAACGAGTTTTTTGTTAGATGCATTGCACCATTAGCAGTAATTGTTTGTTTGTCTTATCATGCATAGTCGTTTACAACTCTCTTTTTAAATATTCTTGTTTTGCCTACCATTCAAAATTTGGCCAATGACAAGGTACTTCAATTCAAAACTTAATTAGAATGACAATATCAAAATGTCTATGAGCAATAGGTAAGATTTTACACTTGAATGTCAAGTTCCACTTATGCCAGCATCATAAAAGGCGATGGAAGATAGGAAAGTCTTAGAACAGGTCTTCACGGATGTTACATGAATGCTAGCTTGCTACTTAGTGTTGTGAATGGGTCTTGAAGCGGACATACTTGTTGAGTGCCTTGCACACTTGCTTTAGAAGTTTATGCTATTGTATTCTGGTTTACAGAAACTTTTTTTATCGGGTGCATTAAATGCAACTGCTGAAGAATATAATTCTAATTTATCGTTTATTTTATTAGGGTCATCTCTTGTGTTGTTCGTTTAAATAAATGTCTAAGTAAGGTTGAGATTCTGAAATAAATTGTGTTCTTACTTCTTCTTGAATACCTATTTAAACATTGTTATAGATGTATTTTATTCATTCAGATATTATTCATAAAGTGACTTGCAAGTCTCTGATTCTTTGAAAATAATTTTTAAAGGTCTTTGATGAACATCGGATGTGAAGGTTCGCGAAATCAGCTGTTCTATTCTATGACCATACTGCGAAAATGTCGCTGAACAAAAAAGGTTACAACTGAGATTGTCAACAACATGTAGAAACTCGAAAGCGGCACATTCCCTCTACGGCATTAGTTCGAAGTCCTGTCTCTAAACCAGTTTAACAAGTCATCGAGAAATCGTGTAAACGGCACTCCTCGTCTCTTCTCCGAAGAAAGTTGCCTTTCCAATATTATGATATGTGTTCGTCTTACGAGTTCGATTGATACCAATTATGGTGTCATGATTAAGACTATTATGTTAAATTGTGTCTATTTTAGTTCCCATCTATCCATCTAGGTTCTTGTAGTGTTCTTGAGGTAGTCTTCACCTTTCTTGAATACTTCTGAACAACGAATTTTTAACTCGACCCTCCTAATTTTTGGGTTAGCAAGAAAAATGATTAAATCCTGTTCATAAGGAATGTATGTATCCTCATAATAGGCGATAACTAAGCGAAAACAAAAGTAGTGTTGAGTTAACACCTTTTTACTTTGAAAGACAATGACAAAGCAACTTCTGTAGTCGAGGGTACATCTTCGATAGCTAATAGTGTTACAAGAACAGGCATTTAGGTTTTTACACCTTTCCCTGTGTTAGTGTGGTTAATGAGTTGTATTTTGTACTTAAATTATTCAACAGGATGTATCCCTCTTCGTAGACTACCAAGTTTTGAAAAATCAGTCCCTTAAGTCATCTCTAAATCTAATTTTCTTATTCGTTTAGTAAAAACCCTACATTTACAACTCTATTTGCAAGCAATTATAGCAAAATTACTACAGATATACCATTTAACAATGAACGTGCATTATTTATCAAACATTTCAATTATTTCTAGATCATCTAACTAACAATTAAAAGAAATTAATACTTATTTAATAACTCTCATGATAACTACGTACTTATAAAAACAAACACAGCTATAAGAAAATAACAGTAATCTAATTAAACGAGAACAATCATTAAACCGTTTGTTAGAGAAACAAGAGGTACTGACAGTTTTACTTTCAATTCACAGACACCAGCATATCAACCTATACGTTTCTATCAAATTCCTTTATAAGATTATCAACTTTATTATCTTGGTGTAAAGTCAAAAATCCATGACCTGCGGGCCTCTGTTCTACAAGTTCGATCATGTTTCCTAGCCCTACATCACTGATTGAGGGAATCAGGTCACATAGGTGCTCGAAGGCAATGGGCCACTGTGTCAATCAAACAACCTGTTTTAGAAGGGTGACCATCTCACTTAGCGTGTTCTTAAATCTTGTTAGCTAGCTGTTATTGGTTATCAAGCTTATCATTATGATGTACTTGATCTACATTGACTGTATCATTAAATTGGTCATTATCATTCTGTACAGTAATAATTAGTTAAGTTCGACTGTTTTATAAAATATTATTCTAATGAATCTGTAGTCAAATGATTCATTAAATACTGAACATTATATACAATCCTTTAATTATTATGGAACTTAAGTAATTCTTACAAAACTTAAAACTAAAACTTCAAAACAAACAAAGCGACTCCACACGAAAGGTGAAGTTGGAGGAAAGCTTGTGACTTGATAGTTCACTGCCAATATCGTAGATGGCGACACCGCTCAAGGTTGTAGTAAATAACGGCGCATGCGATGTAGTAATACCAGTTACACGTTTCCTTGAACTTAAAGCATACGGTGAAGTTCATAATGATATTTTTATTAATGTAAACAATACGTATTTAGATACGAATTTATTTTTAGTATCAAATAAACTTAAATATGGAAACTTGATTATAGGGTCATGAGTCTTGGGTTTTATTGGATTAGGCAAAGTAGAGTTTGGTTTTGAATTCTAAAATGCAGTATGTAGTAATTTTAATATGACGCTTATTACACTAATGGTTAATAAGTGCGCCTTTTCTTATCCATTCGAAAATATAAGTCGCATAGTTAGTTCAACTAATTTTATTTTGCTGCACAATAATGTTTGTACTTTACATACTTACCAAAATACTTTTGAGGTAACTAGTTCAAACGCAATGCCATCCATCATATCACATGTAGGCTGAGTTCATGTTGACAAACTTGTAGATATCATTCGTGGGTAATGGACCCTGACAACGATACCAGTAATTTTCTAAGAAATTCTCTTCAAACAAATGTGAAAGTCGTAAGCATACGAACTATTGGCTTTGGAATTAATTAATAAACATTCGAATGTTTTACACGCTCAAATTAAAATTCTTCGTATTTAGTGTTGTTTGCTTTCAAATATGAATGCTTTTGTTTCAATAATTTCAGCTCGTGGCAAGAAGAAGAAGATCAAGCAGCTCCTGCCCCTCCTCGCTCTTGCTAAGCTGAAGATCACCGCCCTCATCCCTCTGTTCCTCGGCATCATCGCCTTTGCTGCTGCCAAGGCTGTCCTCCTCGCCAAAATCTCTCTCCTGGTCGCTGGTATCATTGCCCTGAAAAAGCTTTTAGCAAGCAAACACCATGAAACCAGCTACGAGGTCGTCGCTCACCCTCATCATGAGGAGCACTACGCTAGCAGCGGTCACGGCTGGGGAAGATCCATTGATGATGGACAGGATCTAGCCTACGCCGCCCACGTTAAGTCCGATTAAAGCCCTGGAATTCCCAAGGAGCTATTCTAAGTCCAACCCTAATTTGTAACATAGTATGAAACGGAATGTACTGAGTTTATTTATTGTAGTTGTTAAGACGTATTTATTTAATATTCTACGAAGAATTTCCCTTTGTAAGGGATTTTTACCGAAGACGCGTTTTGTTACTGTTTTCCCATAAATGTTGTTCTAAGTTTGTATGGTCTTCTATACTGTACTATATTAGTATTTTCCAACCCTATACGGTATCCGTATTTGTGTATTTTGTACTTCAAAATATTTTTTATATAACTCTTTTAGATTTATCATCTAGTCCTTTCTTACCTAAGTCTTTATTTTATTATCGTAGACTATTTTGACTATGATTGTTATGTTTATGTATTTGTGATTTTATTTTTTGTGATATTATTAACCAATTTTATTTTATAACTCTTATTTATAATCTTTATATATTTATTTATTATGTATTTTATACTACAAGCACTATACAGTCCACATAATTATCTCACCTATTTTATTATAACGATATAACATAATATTATAATAACCAACCCACCTTACATATAGTCACACTATCATATATTAATCTGTATCTGTACATATACATGTGTAATAATTACTTATATTGTTATGTAGGTATGTGCCAATATATAAGTACAAATATAATATGTATATGTTTACTATTACTTCTACGCACGTATTGATTGATACTTCAACTGTTTCTTTAACGATTCGTACAAATATAGAACTGAAAATGTTATTGTTTCTTTCTTTTTCCCCTATTTATCAAGACTATTAAATACAGCAGTAAAGTTTTTGAAAATTAATTATTATCTTCTTATATACTATAAAATCATCATCTACATCATTAGGCAGACCATGACTGGAAAAATGCCCTCAAATAGTATACCACTATATTTGACACAGTTCGTTGAATTCATAGCAAAGAATAATTATATTGTAACAAACCTTATATTATGATAAAAGCTAAACAAGCAAGAATTAGTAACTTGTAAATAAATATAAAAATGAACTCACAAGCAAATCTAAAAGACTATAAACTTAATTACACAGGGCAACAATTTCATATTTTGTAAGATTACAAAATTTCTGAAAAACAACCACCATGCAATGTGGAATGTTAAGACATCGCAACTTAAAATCTTTTTATTAACCTTCAACCTCTTCCATAAACCGATGACTCATTAGATAACAAGCCACATAATAAAAACAAAAGAGAAATTCAGCCAATTAGAAAAAAAACAACTCACGCTCAAGCCTGTATGGAAGAAAGCTCGTTAATTTCAATTTCATTATTATATTTACCACAATCATCGAGTTTATCAATAACATGTATATGGTCAGTATGTTTTCTAAAGTCATCATTTTCATCAATACTATAATCAGTATGATCATAAAATTATATCGGATTATATACAGAGTCTGTAATCATATATAAAACTGAAGAGTTTGATTGTTAGAACTCAAGAATCTCCGGTATTATCTGTACCATTTGTTTTACATAGAACGGGCGGCAAACGAGCATACGGGTCACCTGATGGTAAGTAAAAAGCGCCATCTATGGACAACCGCAACACCAGAAGAGTCAGTTGAGTGCATTACCGGCCATTTAGAAAAAAAACGCTCTTTTTTCGAATAATTGTTTTTGTGTTAAATAGTAGTTTTATCGAGAAATAATATAGGCTATACATAGGCTATATATATCAATACGAGCCAAACAGAGCGGGTGAAACCGTGGAAATAGCTAGTTTCGAAATAATACTCAAGTAAGATGATTATGACCTGGCAACACCTCGTGTGATCAGCAAATTACTTAATAAACTTTCTCTCTTTGTTGCGTAAGCTTCGTAAGATATTGAAGACGCAAGTTTGATGAACCGTGCTTAATATTACTTGAAGGATCATATTTATTTAAGTCGTGATCGTCTCGGGCTGTACGGTCGTGGTCACGATCGCAATGGTTTTAACTGACAAAAGACTTAAGAATGTTTGGAAATTAAACTTGTTTTTCTTCCTTAATTTATTTAAGAACAACAGATGTGTGTTTTTTTAATCATTCGTATCTTTTTAATATAGTTGTTTGAAATCCTGGTAGGAAATAAACCAATCATATAGTACACCAATCGTTATAATAATTTAAATGCAGATTATGACGTTGTCTACAGTCTTGTCTATGTTTGGGTTAGGGATCTTTGTTTCGTTTTATGTTATTCCCGTGGGCAGCTTCAAATTATCACCCCCTTATTACGTGGGTGGGACTCATTAAAAACTGGTAAAAAAAACTTAAATAACTCGTCGTGGTAGCCCGGAGGTTGAAGACGCCTGCTTCTCATGCACGAAGGTGCGGGTTTGAAACCTACGGTAAGTACCAATGTGACTTTTTCCGAGTTATAATATAATACACTTTCTAAGATTATTTAGACACCAAAGACCAACGGTGTAGGAACACATCGTGAGGAAACCTAGGCTTATAATTTCTAAATATAAGTTTGAAATCGCCTACCCGCATTGAGCAAGCGTGGTGATTAATGCTCAAACCTTCTCCATGTGAGAAGAGACTTTGCTCAGTAGTCGGCACTTAAAGGCTGTTGATGACATGATCGTGATGACCAGAAAAAAGCAAGTGTGTGTTACATTGTATGTTATGTATAGACCCCTGTAAGAGTCAACTACCAGGATTAAAATATGTGATCTCATGTAAAATAAATAAGAAAAAAACCCCACCAGTACACAAATAAATCATTTACCATCTACATATACATATAAAACAGTAATTGATTAAATAACCAAGCAAATTCGATGAACCGAAAACAATGCAAAATGATTCGCGTGAGAATATTCACATCTTACATAAACAATGGCCGAAGTTTCTAATATATAAATACATACATATACATATATATATGTATACTTTTACTTAGCCATCATAATAATGTAAATGTTCTTATGTAATAATATGGGTTTGGATTTAATTTATGCGCATGGGCAACGCATCAAGTGGACATAAGTTAGATGTTACATCGTTATGTCAAGTTGATACTGGGACATAAATTGTGATTTATCTATAAAGATTTTCACGTGCGTATATTATAGTGGACGGTTTTATTCATTTTGTCTTTGAAGTTTTTTAACCGACTCCAAAAAAGGAGGTTCTCATTTTGATCTGTATGTATATTTGTGCGCGATTATCTCGCGATTGGTTGAATCAATCTTGATACGGTTTTCAGAAAGTGTTGGTACTCTTAGGACAAGGTTTTAGTATATAATTAAGCGACTTTAGAAAAGAGATTATTGAAGTCGGTTTAAACAGTTTTATAGGCTTTTGTTCAATTTTATTGTAACTTATTTTTAAGGCCCGGCAACTCCATTAATAAAACCATTGTTTTAGGGGGACAATCATCGAATGGCTTCTCCTGCCCAGATGAGGCGACAGGGAGTGTCAGACTCTTACTGACTAAAAGCCACCCTGTTTCTATTCCAGTACTTCGATCCGGAGCCCCGGCAACCTGTTAAGTTCTCCATTAATAAACCCATGCAAGACAAATAATAATATCAAATGATTGATGCAAACATGACTATTACAAGAGTAATGACTACCAGACTCCTTGCCGCTTGACTGATGATTTCGAATCAATTAAATAAATCAAAAACCAGTACGTTAGTTTGATAAATGTGAAAACTTATAAAGTTTATGTAACTTCGTAATACCAGACATTTGGGCGACGGATATCACTTTTATATTAGGGTCTTTACACACAACGCATTTTGATACTAGTATCACGCTTAGCAAACGTCATGCTGACACTTTTACTACCCAGATACAGACGTGCTCATAAAACTGTGCGTGGTCAGTGCGTTAAAAAGAGGTGCGTGTGTAAAGGCCCTTATGTGTAAGGCCACTAGCCAGTCGTAAAACAAGTGCTATAAAATATAATTATAAAATACGCGTCGTAACCGTTAGAGTACCAAAAACGCCCGAGGCGCCCTCTGCTTTACGCATCTCGTATTATTTATTGCAAATACAAGTATTGATTAGAAAGAAAGTTTTAAGAAAAACGTGATTTATCTCACGTGGGCTGTGGCTAAGTTGTCTGTGGACTAAATTTTTTATGAATGAATGATTAAAGTTTTTTTTATCGTAGTACAAGTGGGTATGTAGGTAGGTATAGTCATGTGACCAAACTGGTTGCGTTTGCGTAATTCTTGTTCACATCTGCAAAAGAGAGACATAATTTTGTTTCCACCTCTTTTCGACTGGATATTTAGAACGAAGTAGGTAATGTAACTGATATAAAGATAACCATGGTACTAAGAACAAAAACTACATCAAAAATAAATCTAATTTTTCTTTGCTTTGTATATTCATAAACAACAAACGTAACAATAAGATTGAATAACGTCGTGGTGTAAGTGGGTTTACCGGAGGCCCAATTACCTCCCCTTCCCCAATCTCCCCAATCTCCAAAATCCTCAAACTCCTCATCCCCAAAACGCTGGTAACGCACTTGTAACACCTGTGGTGTTCCAGGTGTCCATGAGCGACGCCGATTGCTTACCATTAGGTGATCCGTCCGCTCGTTTACCGGCTTATATCAAAAAATAAAAGAACTTCTGAATTCATATTTCAACTTCATCACCAGATATTTGGGAAGTTAAAATAACTGTTAAATATTTAGCCAAATTAGTCACAAGAGACGCTAGTTTAGAAAACATTGAATACTGCATTTTAAACTTGACTCTAAATGATAGATAAAACCGTCTAATTAATACAAATGTCTCCTTTTCTTTTCTATAAAATTAATATTAAAAGACTTTCTTAGCTCGTCCGTTAGACGGAACTTCAATAGTTGCTTATCACCACAAACAATGGCTGCTGTAATAAAAAGTTAAAGAGAAAATGTTTTTATAACATGTGAAACTAAACACTAGTCTAGCAGATTCATGATTTTCACACATACTGCTTTTTTAGAGACCCTTAAGTGTCATGGTGCTCATAATATTGAAGTTGTATGAACTGTACATAATATGTATAATTGTTAATAGAAGTAACTTCCCTGTCAATAACAAAGGCATTATTTATTTTTAAATAAACCAAAACATAAGACACAAAGCCAGTTAGGTATATAATTTCTCTCTTGTCTAGTGACTACTAGACTGATCATTATCACATATGTGATTAGTAAACCATATATTGACATAATAATATTCTCTTTATTTGTCTACTTTGTTTAAAATCTACGTTAGTTTTTACATACTTAGATGGCATAAGTTTTACTACAAAAAATACTAGAATTATTGTTTTTAGAATTGTAGGTATAACTTTAGAGAAAATTACACACAAATTCCAAAATATACGTAATACAAGCGATGTATATTCTTAAACACACAATACCCACGTGATGTCATGTTTGCGTAACAATATTCACAACTTAACGTACCGTAAAACTAATAAATTATTCACTTTTACTTCGAAAGACAATTAAAACCCCATGGGGCGTCTGCTAGGCGCATCATAAATAGTTATGTTTGTTTAAGAATGTGACAGTTTTACTTAAAATGCTGGCAAGGCGCCAGGAAGGAAAGATCGTAGGAAATGCATCTTTAGACTTAGTAATGGTGTTTATTTTCACTATCTACAATGACAGTCCAATGACTGGACAATTCCCGAATCCTCCACAATCCTCAAATATCCAATTCCCAAAAGGCCGGTAACGCACTTGTAACGCCTTGGTGTTTCGGGTGTCCATGGGCGGCGCCGATTGCTTACTATCAGGTGATCCGTATGCTCGTTTACCGGCTTATGCTATAAAAAATGAGCCTCTTTTATATAAGAAGATTTACGATGACCACCATGATTAACAAGCGAATTGAAGATCGCAGTTCAGAAGGTATAGGTGTGACAGAGAATTCTGCAATCTGGTCTTTGTCTGCAGTCCCTTGATCGAATCTTGTGATGCCTGCGGAAGGAGAGGTGGTGGTCAAAGTATATTCTGATATTGAAAATTCTTCCTTTCATAACATAATATCTGTCATGTACCAATAAACGTTACTTTATAGTAGTACGGAACCGCATACAGATAAGCACTAACATAATAAAGACAACTTTTTATACGACACTAGTTCTGTTCTCACACGACACAGTGCAAGTTCATAACATTGAAGTTATTTTTAATATCAGGTCTGAACATAACTGTACATTCAAGTGGGATGACAAAAATACAATGACGAACCAAAATGATGAGATGATTATCTTCCATTGTATAAAAAGGAATGTTGACCGAGGGTCATTATATTACAAATTCCCTTCTCTCTTCTTTAAGAATATTTATAAAGGAATATAATATAGAAAAGAAAAACCTGAGGAAATTAAAAATTATGGTAGCGTAAAGAGGTAATGCTAAATACATTGAGCCTATGATGATCGAATGATGATGGTAGAACATAAGTAATTCAAGATAATCCAGAAGTCTTCAGCAGAGATATATACAAACAAATAAAGTTCGACAATACAAGGAATCTCAGCACAATGGAATACAATAAGTATATAGTACCTACAAAATAAACAAACTATAAATTTGAAATCGAATATAATTATTATGCACTCGATGGCCTACTTGATTGACAGAACACCTGTACTAAAATTCTGTTAAGTCATCGACTATACCCACAAAAGACATTTCTCTTAGCAACTCTAATAACTCTTGCACACAATAGATTCACCGTCACTTCCTAAACCATTGCTCCATTTCAACTGTGAACGCATGCTAAAGTTTTGACAAATGTATCAATGGATATCGAAGTCCAAGAGCAATGAAGCAGCGTGGGATGACGAGTAGTTGATACACTTTCGTTTTTTTTTGTAGACATTTAGATACAACATGACTTTTAGATTTGATTCACTTGTTCAAACCACAAGTTGAAACTTAATGGCTTAAGCACAACACTTATATTACTTTTGTCTTACAACATATGGAGATTGGGGAAATCTACAAAAGGTTTTCAAAGTTAGTTCCTCAATTATTTTAACAACTGCGTTGTTCGTAAAGTCTTCATGATTATGACTTTTGAATATAACGTTGCTGAATCTGGACCAGTTGAATTTGTTAATTAATTTTAGCATATAGGTACAAAGAAATCAACATATTATCATTTATATTCGTATTCATTAGCTTTAAACATTTAGAGAAATCACTTCCAATTTAGAAATGAATTACGTAATCCAATTTTATATGATTTCTAGAACCAGCTGCCTAAATATACCTACACTCTTCTTCAAAGCCTAAGCTCAATGTTTAACTAAACAGCAATAATACAGTCTCCATTAGTACTAATACCTTCACTGGCGTTCAACAAAGATACTGATTGACGTGCAGACTACAAAATACAGTAGAACAGGACTCAAAGACGGACAAAGGTTCATACATCATTAACATCACCGACTACGGTAGAGAAATTTCCCTTTACAAATTCAGTATACAACGAAAACCGATTAACTCATTCCTTGTCCTAGCCAAGATTGTACCTAGATAACAATGAACCTTAAAGGAAGTGCGTATCTTCATTTTGAATTTTAACCTTCTTTAAATAGAAGTCAATTTTGATTGGTGGCTTAATTGTCTCAGATTGAAACACCATACTCTCTCTGATTTGAATGTGATTGAAGAGTTCGTCTTTAGTTCCTTTTTAAGTGATAATAAGTAAAATATTTATACGATTTTGAACTGTGAAGTTATTGGATTACAGTATGTATTTCAATTAAATTGACAAGACCACGTTAGATGTTGAAAATACATTAATCAGAGACATTTATAAAATTAAACAAAAAATGAAATCGACACAGCACAAATCTATTTACATCGAAGCAGTTTCTAACAGACTGTCTGAAATAACAACTTAAATAAATATAAAAGAAGTAACAGTCAATAAATAATTTCCAGTGCCAATAGTAAAATAAAGGGTATTATTATAAAAACATAATAATATTTCAAGAATGACCACTGATACGTTAGAGATATTTAGTCAAAATAAAAATTGATGTCACCATTTTAAAATCACAAAAAAATCTATAGTAGTTCTCGTCAACGCGTCGCAACAGAAAATGAGTCAAAATGAAAGGAAGATTGAATTTGTAATGAATTTAAAAAAAAATCTCAATGACGTAATTATTCATGAATCAAAGAAAGTCTACGCATTACGCAATGGATGCGAAGTTCAACCTAAATGAAATTAAAAGTGTTTTAAACAAAAGGCATGTTGGCAATGGCTATGAATATAACGACATAATTCTGCACTTTATATTCCAAATAGACATATCACCTTTGTCGTTAAGTACCAAAGAAACTTTCGCTGTATACAAACAACTGGGCTTATAAATGGTCTATTAAACAATTTACTTCAGAATACAAATGGTCAAAAAATATAGAAATTGAGACGATGATATAAGTGTATTGATGGGTTTTAGAAAGCGATTTTGCGAAACCCTCCAACGGAGAACCGGAAATAAGCGAGGTATTCCAAATATTTCGGAACGAGTAATTATTTCTAAAGGATTTCCGAATACCATAAAAAAAAGAAATAGTTTAAATACTCCGTAATTTTATCAGAAGGTAATTTTAATGACTATAAATGAAATCGCTAATAAAAATGTAAGGATGCTAACTACAAAAATACATACTACTCAATCAAGAATTAATAAAAATCAGCGACATCAATTAAAAAAATCACATCAAAATAAATTTTCTTTTCACATCAAAACCCATGTAATAACAATTTAACAAACATAAATCATAACGGTTCAAACACCGCACACTTTTCAATTTAATTTCGTTCCCGCGCAAAAAGACCTACATACTTAAAATTTCGAAATACCCATAAAACCAACCTTAAAAATGACACCTAAATCTGTGACCATAATACCATGCCACCATAACACACATTTCCAATAAACCTGACAAATACCTGCTAAAATGCTTACCCCAATGTGGTATGTTTGTATTTCGTCATAGGCCTTACTTGTAGCGAAGACACCGAAGCTCAATGCGTGACATATGGAAATACGGGGAGGGGGAACACAAAATAAAACTCACGCTCATACAGTGATCTTTAGCAATTTGTGTTTAGCCATCGAGTAAGATGAAGGTTGTTGTGCTATTGTGTGCTGTGGCCGTCGCCGGGGCATTGCCCATGGCCAAGGAAGATGGAGCCGCCGAGAGGTTCCTATCAGCTCTCAAGGATTGTCTGGATACAGATACCTCTTTGTGCCTCAAGGTGTGTTGTGCAGTGAAGTGAATTGTGACAGTGTTTTGTGATGGGTTGGGATCCTCAGGGCTGTGCAGGATATCTTAATCGTGAATAGTTTTGATGTTAAACCTCAAGGACTTGAAAAATAATTCTGATTTTAGTGTTGGAGCTTGCAAAAAATACTCCTGATTTTTCGTTAACAGTTTGGAAGAATCAAATTATTAATCTAGTGTTTCGCTGAATTTAATTTCAACTTTGACACAAAATTGAACTTCGATACAGTTTTAAGTTTACCAATTTATTTTTCAAATCAACTTTATAGATTTATCATCAAAAATATATTCCAATCACAATTGGCACTTAAGGATCTCAGTTCATACTCAAATAAAAAATTAGTACTAAAATACCTCTGCAGTCGCTAAAACAAAAATACTAAGTATTCAATTTCTTTCGCAGGAAAAGGCAATGAGATTCACAGACAAACTCGCAGCCTCATCAAGCCTGGAAGTCCTCGATGGCGTTAGCTTCAAGAACACTGGTGGAAGCCGCTCCGCTCGCAGCTACGAACCTCTTCCCGATGACCCCAAGGCCAGGGAACTGAAGGTTGAAGAGAGAATCATGGAGAACGTCGTGGACTTCCTCGACAGCCACGTCTTGCAGCTCAGAATGCCCAAAGCTTTGGAAGATGACAACACCCTCGATGAGGAAGGTATGTAGCTAATACATTTTTATAACTGTAATGAACTTTTATATCTAAAATACTTGAGTCTTTGAAAAGTTAACTTCTGGTAAAATGATACTTAACGAGTCAGTTTCGCAGTAAAGTAAGACACTAATGAGATGCTTTAAAAGTAGTACCCAAGTACGTGCTAACTGCTTTAACTTGGAGTAAAAGTTTAGTGTCCGCGTAAATAACGACTCATTAATACCATTGCATGCTTTTAACCTAGAACATTTCTATTACCACGTACCTGTTGTTAGAAAAGTGTCTACTAGATACGACATAGAAAACTTAATTACAATTATGGTGCACGTACGAGACATTACAGTAATCTACAACATTGGTAGAAATATTTCTCAAGACTAGAAAGTTTCAACGCAAATTACATCAAAAATGTAACGTTGAAAACATATTTAACCCTCTGCAACTGACGTGGTTAAATTGTTACAATTCAACTGAGGTGTATATTATACCAGACACCATTTCAACAGCAAATATTTTTGTAGAATTAAAGTATAGCGAGCACTATACAGTAAGGTACTCGCAGCAGTGATGCTCGTATTTGAAAAATGACGGTATAACACGTGATTTTGTATTTCGCGGTGTCTGTGGGACTACACGTCAGCTGCAGACGGTTAATCTAAAAACAAATATGAAGATGTAAGATAAAAGAATTCAAGCTAACAATAAAAATATTAGTTACGGTATGAGCATTCAAAATCAGACGTGTAGTACAATGTATGAATATTTTCCCACGCACAGAGATAACATCAGCGAGCAATGTGTTAATTTGATACAGTACTTTATGCACTTTCTTGAGACTTTGTTTGATGTCGATAATGAGATCAGTAGACTTGAAAGTAGGCTTGAATATATGGATTAAGATGTTCCAAAAATCCCTACAGATCGTTTTGCTTTAGAAGAATTTAGAGATGATTAAGTAAATTGTGAAGTAACACAAAATAATTCAGAGAAACATTACAAAAGTAACTTTACACAATGCTTCCTGGATAATAATAATTGTAATATAATATTAACAAGAAACAATAAGCCGTTAAACTTACCTCACGACTTTACTATCGCACTTGAATGAGCATCGACTAGACTTACTATATTTGTCTAAGCTTTACATAGTCGGAGATAGTTCTAGAGCTTTGTCAATAGACGAAGCTTTTCATTCGCACTTAACCGCGAGAGAACGTCAAACAAAATCGTGTTTGCACTTTCATAAAATGTCATCAACAATACTTCACATTAACTTGACCGGAACTTGAACAATCATTGACCAAAAATTTAAATTCAAAACCGCATTTGAAATCTAAAAAGTGCATTATTCAAAGCAGTTTAGAAAAGCATCCTCGAAAATCTGTCCGCAGACAAAAATAATTTCTAAAAATGTTTATTTCTAATCTCATAATCGTTTAAGTCGGAAATCAGCGTCGACTTCAACTTTCACTTTAGATTTCAAGTTTATTTTAAGTAGTAAATCAGCATACTCTTGAAATTTGCGAACACGCCCCTGTGACCTGTCGAAGATACTATGAAAAAAGTTAATATACCGATTTCATTTTATTTTCAACATTCAAAATCGTATTAAACTCTTTATTGAATTGGTGTGCAACAAATTGTAATGACATAATTTCCATAATCGATTCCAATTCAAATTAAAACATCGATTTTATTGTCGGTTTTATTTTCCCACAAATTGATGGCTAGTTTTACATATTATACTCTCATGGTGAGATCGAATGACATAACACAATTATCACTCGGACTTCGTTTTCACTCCGACCCGTTTATTTATGTAAGAGCTCGCTAGACCAGTTTCTACGCACTTGATAAGTTCACTGTCTTCAGATTTCTATCTGCAAATCGGCGTGTAACTTTAAACCATTGATCTGTCTAAGCCTGTCACTAATTATGCAATAAGTCTTTTCATGTACTTGAGTGTCGGCTTCTTAGCATGTATGTTATATCATCATTAATCTTAGATTTATAACTGATTTTATAGCTTGCATTCAAATTGAAGTCTAAAAATAAACTGACCTTACGAGAATATAGAGAGTATATCACATTCATAAATCAATTAACATTTTGCGAAAACGTTTACCAAAAAATCCGAGCCAACGAAAATTATGGTAATAACGCTCACACTTGACCTTTAGTTCGTGACATACATGCAGTGACTTTCTCAAAGAAATTATAATTTTATTCAACTATGAATGCCAAAAGTTGAGGCAGCTTTCTTTTAATTGTCAGTACTACGTTTACAAAGGTATAACACTTATATTATGTTGTGGGAAAGATTTTTTCTAAACAAGATTCTGTAGCGTTCGCTATGTGAAATTAAACGGTCTACAATTCCTTTGTTAAGACGGATCAGTTTTTGATGTAATTAGTGACTTATGTGTGACTGTAACGGGATTTAGAGAGTCGTCATCGATTGTCTTATTCTGAGCTAGACGTACTAGATTATTTAGTTATTTTTTGTTTGCTGTGAATTCTTTTGTTAATATTAAAGTTTAGTTCTATGCATTGTTGACAGATTCTTTACATTGATATTTAATTTCTTATACTCATGATCAATTATCTTAATTCCAGGCCGTGGCAAGAAGAAGAAGAAGCTGAAGAAGCTCCTCCCCATCCTCGCCCTCATCAAGCTGAAGCTCGCTGCCCTCATCCCTCTGTTCCTCGGTATCATCGCCTTCGCCGTCTTCAAGGCTTACCTCCTCGGTAAAATCGCTTTCATCGCCGCTGCCTTCGGAGCCCTCAAGAAACTCCTTGAATCCAAGAAAAGCAGTGGATGGTCTGAGCCCGCCCACGAAGAGAACCACGGCTGGGAAAGCAGCGGTGGTTGGGGCAGGTCCCAGGACGCCCAAAGCTTGGCTTACGGCGCCCACGTTAAGCAAGCGTGAGAGTAAATTATTAATTTATTTATTTTAGGTAAAGTTAACTTATTAAACTCGAATTAATTCTTCTTCTTTTCCCTTGTATATATTGACCACCGTTCGATACACATGCTAAGTTTTTTTTAATGTATATATCTTTTTTATTTTAAGTTTCTTAACGACTGATATTATTAGTCTCTTCCCATATTGTATATAAGTATTTTTATTTATTATGTTTAAGTATTGCTTCACTGTCAGTGGAGGTTTATAGTACATTTTATTATTTTAAGTTTTCAGTTCCAAAGATATTTTATATATTTACTTTAATATTTTCTATATTATTTTTTTTTTGTTTTTGTTTGACGTGTATGGGTATGTTACGAGTCATATTTATTACAAGACAACGTGTATTTAATGCGAAGAATGTTATCTGTTTGTTTGTTGCGATGTTTTAATTTATTTTACGATGGATCCTCGTAAAAGTTAAATAAAAACGACTTTAAAAAAATATAAACTTGTTGTTTCTTTTATTTGTTTGTGCATTTCATTGACTGATCATACTTAATATTACTATCATTTTACAAATCGATAAATTTAGTACATTTACTAGAATGCAGGAACTAAATTTCATTTTATGCAATAATGATTGCATTTACCAAGAAATTAAATTTTGAATTATAACATTTTCCTTGTGCAAATGTTTTCATTACAATTTCTCCAAATATTTTACTTATAATGAAGATTTTTAAAAACCTTTAGACAGGTGATATCATAAAGTACCAACATATCTTGATAAAGCCTTAAATACATTAGATAAAAGAATTTAATATTTAACATAAAGCTTCTTGCTTAAACTGTCAAACACCAAGTGGTCACCGGTGACCGCAACCTATTGTTCTTTAATTGTGTCTATATTGACGGTGCTTGACGAGTTAATTAGCAATTGTATTATAAAGTACAATAAGATTGTACATTTTTATGGATAAACGTTGTTGCTATATTTTAAATAAAACAACTGATTGATAGGATCGCTTAGCAGCTCAGCATCAGGAATATCTAGATAAAGCTAGATGAATGACTGCACAATGGCGTGCAATTATAGAAGCCTACGTCCTGCAGTGGATGAAATGAAAAAGGGTCAATGATCAAAATGAGAATACTAATATTACTATGTCTGATTTTTTGACGGCAATAATACATAATTAAGATTTCCTGCACCCATCTCCAGCAGTAATAATAAGTCATTTGTAATAAAGAAAGTGTCGTGGTGGCCCGGAGGTTTAAGACGCCTGCTTCTCATGCATGAGGGTGCGGTTTCAAAACCTAGCAACAGCAAGTACCAATGTGACTTTTTCCGAGTTATATGTACTTTCTAAGATTATTTAGACACTACAGACAAATGGCGAAGGCAAAACATCGTGAGGTAGCTTGAGCTTATAATTTCTAATATAAGTTTGAAATCGCCAACCCGCATTGAGCAAGCGTGATGATTAATGCTCAAACCTGCTCCGTGCAAGAAGAGGCCTTTGGTCAGCAGTGGCCACTTATAATGTATGCTGTGATTTCCTTTAATTGAAAGAGTGTACTTACCTAACCTAAAATTTTGTATAATTTTCATGGCATATACTGTGCACATCTTTTGTTGAAGATCCTATGTTATTAAATAAACAAATACATCAATAGGCATGCAGTGGGCATTTATAGGCTGGTGATGATGATGATGATAATGAATAAAGGAAAATTACCATGAAATTGTATCTAGAAAAATAAAAATATTTCACAACCTTTTTCTCTGAAGTGTTTCCCAGAGAGGCATTTGTAAAATACAATGTGAGTCTTTCAGACTTTTAGGTGAGACCCTACCAGCATTAGAGCGGTACACCAGGCACAATTTAAAATATCGGACTATTATTTATTAAATTTGCCAAAAAAAATAAATAACAATGGAAGCTTTTCCCATCCCAACTAAAAACCTCTTGGTTAGCAACTACACACGTGACTATACTTCTATAAAAGCAGCCTCCGTGCTCTGAGCCAGTAAAAAAACTAAAATAGAAATGAACAGCACTTTGAACCCAGAAGAACTCATTTGTTACATCTTTGCTAAAGTAATAGACCAATGATTACAAAACACACAATAGCTAATTAACCTTCAAGCGGGCGCGCGTAGTCGAATCGACCGCGGTTAATACATTTTCGTTCGTATTTTTATTTTTAGTTGTCACATGCATTTCTAATTTCTAGTAGCCTGTCACTATCTTTTTAGGAGTAAAATAAAAACTATTTCGTTGCTTGAAGCGATCTCTACACTCCACAAATTACAATTATTTAGGCTCTGGCGCAGTCGTTGAAAAGACTACACGCGCCTGTCGTCGAATAGGTTACGCGCGACGCCCAACGCGACATACACATGTCAATATTATCTAATTCAGCTTGGAGTTTTGGTGTTTTAAAGCATTTTTTGTTTAAATAAGTCGTTTATGGTTATCGCAAAGTACAGTAATCGAGGAATTACAAAGAGAAGACGAAGAAGAGAGTGAATCAGAGCTTAGCAACCAAGGCTCTGAAACTTCTCATCACATAGTTTTAGAAGAACATCTATCTGATGTGATATCATCCTTGTCGGATTTAGATGAGAATAATTTGTAGCTTTCGGTAATAAATAGCTGTTTTACAGGACGCGATAAAGTAACGAAGTAGCAAAATCTGAAAAATTACTAGAATACTGACTCAGACGAAAATAAAATCAAAATTAATGAGTTTTTACAGTTTTATCCTTACTTTTTATTTATTTTTTGGTCTACGTATATAAACCAACCTAACATATGTAAACGGGTCTTAATTTTTATTTTGATCCAAAGAATATTTGAGTTACTTTAGGTGACTTAATAATTGCTTCTTTTTCATAATTTTAATTACTTGTTGTGACAAATTTCTCTTTAAAGACAATGATATTGTATCTTAGTACAAATTAATAAATGATTATCCCATAATTATTGCTTTCTTGGTCTTATTCATCCCATAGGTCTATTCGGTTACGCGCGCCCGCTCCCGTTACAAAAGACCGCGCGCCCGCTTGAAGGTTAAAAATGATAGAAAGTGTAAAATATTACAAGTTATTACTTATTACATATTATACTTCCAAATACTTTCTCAGATAAATTTTAATTATTATTAATTAGTGATCACGCCATAACTATGGGAATTTATTTATTATTTATGAATAATGGTGGGATTCTGTCCGTCATACAGTGTAATTGAAACCACAGTTAATCGCTGTTATTGATCTATTGAAGTTCGTAATTAAAGATGGAAGATATAATTTTCTTATCTTTGTTGGAAAGGTTACAGTTCACACACGTGTGACTGCCAAGTAAGGGACGTTTGGTTTGATTATGTAGTCAGATAAAGTAATATGGTGTTTTGTCGATGAAAACAAAAGAAACAGCAGAGATTATGTTTAGTATATGGCAATAGGTCCATTCCCTATTACCTACATATAGGATTCATAGCTAGTGAATAGTGGACGTTTTCGTTTCTTTGGGGACGGGGGGGGAGATCATTCAATTTCTTCTCCCGCCTTGGCTGAGGCGGGAGAAGACATTAAACGACCCTCCAGACCAGTGTCAGTCTCTCACTGACTAAAAACCATCCCGTTTAATATACTCCTGCACTTCAAGCCGGAGCCCCTGCAACCCGTTAAGCCCTCCACGGCTACGTTACATTGAATATTCAGTGACGTAAAATAAAAAAGTAAAAAATCCGTTCCTCTACCAACTTCTTAGTTGATTAACTCGTCGAGTACCGTCATTATAGACACAATTATAGAACAATAGGTTGCGGTCACCGGTGACCGCTTGGTGTTTGACAGTTTAAAAAGCATGTATTGTGTTGTAATTGTGTAGTTCACGTCTTCCTATCTATCCTACTTATATTATAAATGCGAAAGTTTGTGAGGATGTATGTGCGTTTGTGTGTGTGTATGTGTGTGTTTGTGTGTGTGTATGTGTGTGTGTGTGTGTGTGTGTGTGTGTGTGTGTGTGTGTGTGTGTTACTCTTTCACGACAAAATGGCGGTAGGGATCGAGATGACATTTGGAACAGGAGTAGGTTATAACCTACCGTTATATTCCAGACTATAGTCTGGAATAACACACAGGCTACTTTTTATACCATGGTAACGCGTTCGAAGCCGCTCGCAGAAGCTAGTCTTTTTATAATTTGAAATTTCTGCTTTACGGTTCCTTCAAGTTCATTATAATTAGAAACAGACTTTTGGTAAATATACATTTTAAACTCTGACCTCATATAAATAACATTCACAAATATCTAGCATTAACGAAAATGCATTTACAAATAACAGATAACACACAATCGTATGTTTAGTGCTATTTATCTTATCTGTTTGTATGTTGCTACGAGGGCAGTATGCCGATAGACTGACAAATTAATGATGAGGTGCATATATTTATTGTGCGTTAAAATGTAGCGAAAACAGTAAAAAATATATTTTGAACTTTATTGTAAATACCAATTAAGTTGACTATCTTGTGTTCAGGTGCTAAATTGTCAAGCTATTGTATTCTGTTTTATTTTAGCAAATTTTAACTGTAGTATTAATAGATGAAGGTTCAAAATTGATTACAGCAGTTAGGTGAACCTTGATCAGCGAACGTCTATAGATTAATATGTTTTTTTATATATACGCTGATACAAACAAATCTTGTTTGATATATCGAGAATAGAAAAAAATTTGAATACAATTTTTTTTTTTTTGTTTAATAAACGTTGCCCCACATTAGGATTTTCTCCTGTGTCATGGGTGCGTTTACAAACACACAAATTCACATACACAATGACACCCAGACCCGAAACAACAATTTGTGGTTCACACAAAGTGTTTTTCCATGCGGGAATCGAACCCGCGACACGTTGCACGGCAGCCGGTTGTCCAGCCACCGCACCAACCGTGCAGTCTATGTCTTTGATTTCATGTTTCTAATAAATAACAAGGAATTTAGATGCATGATGATAGCATAGTGAATCCGCGATCGACATTTTACCTACAGTTTAAGTTTCCAAATGAATATAGAAAATTAAATGTACTTTCTTATTTTTTGATGTATAGGAAGTCTGGGTGTCGTCTAGTGTTCAGTTCAGGTTAGATTTAAATCGAATCTGATATTCGAAATAATAAACGATAAGCTATCTAGCATATACATAAATATTGCCATGTCTAAAAAGAAATATCTTATATAAATATTCCTGCCACGCAAAGTATCTCGGGTTCGATTCCCGCACGGAACGCTTTGTATGATCC